CAGGGGAGAAGAAGAAAATATGAAATTAAAAGTAAAAAAGAGAGGCCTGCCCGCAAGCACGCTCCTCCAAAGCCACCCATCCCCAGCAGATCCCTGATGGACACCACCATACTGGAAGATAAAAGCCCAGAAAACAAACTTGTTTTAGAGACAGGTCCAGCCCTGAAGACCCTGCTCCTTCCAGCTGCCAGGACCTACTGGGACACGTCCCACCTCCCATCAGGATAACGGGTTTCCAGTCCCAGAGGTAGCCACTCCTCCACCATGACAAGGTCTACCAAACCATCCCTATCTTCCAGTCCCTTGCACATTCCCTCCCCTTCTTTCCCTTGAAAACATCAGGTTTCTGGAAGCAATTTAATTGTGAGTTATAGCAAGGCTTCCTCAGGCAGTGTGGATCGGACTGGAGGCCCTGCTCTCCCAAAATGTTTCACTTCCCCCCAGGGCAGCCACACCAGGGACCCTGCAGACTCTGCTTGGCACGGAGAAACATCACTTTTGCCTTCAAAGCCTTTCAACTAGAAGGGAAAAAAAAAAAATCAGTAATAACAAATATCAAAGCAAAGGCTTCCTCCCCTTTGAGGGGCAGGAGGGAGAGCAGCCAGGCAAGGGCTGGACCTGCCCAAAGCTCAGCAAGCTGAGGGGGACCCGGATCCTGCAGGGCTGGAGGACCGAGCACTTTCCTGATGAGCTTTCTTTCCAAGCAGCAGAATGATGCCTTAGGTGCAAGAATTGCATTGAAATTCAAATCGGGGTTTTGAACTCTCTCCTGCGCCTTGGGAAACCTCCTCAGTGGAAATGCAGGATAAGGAGGAGGGCAGGATTTGATACCCTGGGGAAGGGCTGGGGGGAAGGAAAGCAAGCTGCCCCATCCTGCTGGGAGGAATGCTTGACCCAAGGGGTGCTGGGCTTGCCAGTGTACCCCTGTTAAAGCTCTGCCCCACACCCCAAAAACCCAAAAACCCCAGCACTGCACACACCACATCTGCCCCTCTTCTCCCCATGCTGCTCCTGGTGGGGTTTTACTTGGGGGCGTGGGGAAAAGAGGGAAGGGAGGGAGGAAGAAAAAGAAACCCCATATCATAATTGCTATATTAAAGAGAAATAGCAGGCAGGAATAATAAGAGAGGTGTCAGAAGTGAAATACAGTAACAGACATTAAAAAAAAAAAAAGACTACAGTTCTGCGATGGGGGTGTTAATTGAACACAGAGCTGGAGAGAACAAAGGGGTGTTAAGGAAGAGAAGAAGGGGAAAAATCCTACCTCCTCCAAAGATCTGATTTGAGTTAAGTTTGGTGAAGATAATGCACAGGGAAAGGTAGCTAAGAGGCACCTTATATAGCTATTATGCTCTAAAATTAAAAAAAAAAAAAAAAAAGACAACAAACCCATTATTCAACAACAATTGCACGGCTAATCAGTGCTGTCTATAAATATTCCACTTTGTAAATCCCCCCCATTGGTGCTATGTACATTTTTCTTTTAATCCTGAATTCCTTCAACACAGGAGGGAGAGGAGGGTGAGAAAATATAAATTGTGGGATTTCAAATGCAAAGTCAGGGTCTTCTTAAGAAGTAGAATTTGCCCGATGCCCTCACCTCCCCCAAATGAGTGGAGAAAGTGAAACGATGGGAAAAGCTCTTAAGGAGGAGGAATCAGATTAAATGGTCATATATCCTGTGCTCAGCCTCTCCCCACCGGTCCCCGCTGAACGAGATGGGAGTTGGGAAAGGCTCACAGCTGAAATAGATGCTGCTGCATTTTGACAGCAGATATTTTCCAGTTTGCCATCCAAGGACCCCACGTCTGCGTACGCCTTGCCTGATTCTTCTGCTTAGCTATTCTGCTCATGCAGAGAACAGCTTAAAAAAAAACATACCAAGAGAGAGGGGAAAAAAACAAGGGGAAAAAAAATAAACAGCCATAAAGACAGAGACCCTACCCCTGCCTTCAAACTTTTTATAAATCAGGAATGCAATTTCCGATTTCAATCCCTATTGATAGAGGAATCAATTGTATTTAGGACAACAATGCCTCCCATTTCCATAATTATTATTCCAAAAAGCCAGCCAGCCATTTGAAGGCAGTCCTGCCCCTTCCCTCGCAACAAAGCGACCAACAGCAAGTGAAAACACACCAAATGAACGCCGACAACTTCGATGTATATTTAAGCAGCAATTTTTTTCCTTTCCCTAATACTCCTGCCTGGATCAGACCTCTCAACTTTTATTACTTTTAAACAGATATCACCCCAAAGGTCTGCAGACAAAAGGCAACCCCCTGAGCTTTTTTTTTTAATCATTATAATTTTTTTAAGTGATAACAAACACTTAAAAATAACTGAAGAGCCCAAATGCAAAAGGTGACTCTTTGGCCAGTAGAGATGACCTGTTTTTGTAAGGACTTTATGGACACTTTGGGTTTGCTCAAGACAAGGTTAACACTATGAAATAGTAGCCATAATGTTGCGAGAGATGGTGGTAAAGTCTCTGTAAGGCTCTGGAGTCACTTAAATCAGGCAGCGGGGTAACCGAACGCACATTTCTGCACATCATAACGCCGGGGGGAAGATGTACGCACGCACTTTCAAACACCCACCAGTGACCACAAACAATCACCAGGATTTCAAGCGCCACACATGCAAAAATCTGGGAAGCTAAATGGAAAGTGGGAAGCGAGAAGTTGGCTCAACTTTCACACCGCTGCCCGCAAGGAAGGGGTAAGCAAACAGAGGCAGGCGGTACCCTCGGCCCCAGAAAAAACAAGGCAAACTTCCTCCTAGCATTGGGCCCACAAAGCAATAATTAAAAAAAATAATAAAAATAAACCGAAACCATCTGGCTGTTTGCTTTCTTACGAAGTGTGACTTTTGGGGACGCAGATGGGGTGGAGAGGGGAGGAGGTCTTTGAATTCGCAAAGTGAAAGAATTCACCGAAAACATATCCAAGGGTAGATAACGCTCCAAAAGCCATCTCGAGTCAACCTCTTTGGAGGCCTCCACAGCACAGCCCCGTAAGCCAAGTAATCCAGGCACAACACCAACAAACAGCATTTATAAAAATGTAAAACAGCCCCAGGTCACACCTGAATATCCTTATTTCCAGCAGCATTCTTCGTCCGCTACCATCTCTTTCCATTTTTCCTTAGCAGACAGGAATTATCACACCCTGTCACTGTGGCTATGCACAGTTCCTCATCCCTCCTCAGCTCACTGGGACCTCTCAGCATCCCTGAGCTCACCTGGCTTTCCCCACTAAGTTTGGTCCCAGCAGATTTCTTGCTCCCTAACTTTGCCACTGCGCTGAGAGCGAAGCTGAGCTGGGATTAAACAGTTATCCCAGCCAAAAAGTGTCCCTGCACAAGCAACATATGGAGCACCAAATACACTTAGAGAAGAGACAGGCAAAAACGGACACAAAATTAAAGAAGAAAGAGAGAAGAGGGAAAGGAACTCGGCAGCTCCCTTTTTTTGTGGAGGCGCATGGGGGAACGCTGTAAAATCCTGAACCTCTCTACACAGACTCTCTCACATTACAGCATAAGAGTTCGGAGGTTCCCATACCAAACCCGCTGCTGGTTCTTATGGGAAGTGTGTAGGGAAGGACTCCTCGGGAAGGTCAGAGGCGGCCCCGCAGCCGGGAGGACTCGGGAGAGCCGAATGCCATCGGTAGGTGCTTTGTCTGGGCTACACGCTGCACAAACAACGCTTAACAAAGGGCCCTCTTAGTCATTTTATATATATTGCAGGAGTCAAGTAATTGTATTTTCAATCAGCTGCTCATGCTGGGTGGTTTTAGATATATATATATATATATATATTTAAGAATGGAAAAAAAAATATAAGAGCCAGTTCAGGTTTCTGAAAGCTGCTCCCCTTTTATGTGTAACTATCAATGTATATCAACTGGGTGTGCAATCATATTTATTGTCACTTTCATTCATGTCATGCCCTTGCTTATATGGCTTAGATATGAATTATTGACTGTTTCAGTCCTTGTTGTAAAGAGGGGGGAAGGGGGGGAAAAGTCAAGTACTTTGCAGCGTGCTAAAACAAGGCAGCTACGGCGGCACGGGAAAGCCCACAGATCAACTCTGGTCAGCTCAGAACGCCAACAGGAGAGATTAACCACCCCCCACATTTCCATCACTCCCCCCACTTTTTTTTTTTTTTACATTTCTATTAAAAAAAAAAGGACAGATTCCAACAAATACATAAATAAGTGGTGCATGTTGCTAAATGTCCTTCCCTGAGCATCTGTTGTTTAAGATCACCCTTGATTGATGACTGCTATTTTTTAATTGTTGCTTTTAAAATTTAAATGCCCCCCTGGGATGTGTTATAAGTGTGTTAGTACATGGTAGGAGGTCTGGAAAGTGGGAAACAGCAGAACCAACGCTCTCATGCCATTAGCTTCTAAAGAAGTCTGAGAACACCCCATGCCATAAAACAACAGTACCCTAAAGTAACTAACAATCTAATATATTGCTTTCACTAAAGGGGACTGACAACTCGCTCTTACACGAGCTAGCCTGGATGATTGGCAGACAAGAGCATTTCAACTCTTTCTTTAAAAAAAAAGTAAGAAACCTTTGTGTTTACCTGAATACTAATGGTAATAAAACTGCATAGTTTCATTTTGTTTGGATTATTCCCCCACACACCCACTCTGCATTCGCATTTTATTTTGTTTTTTAAGCAGTGCCATGTCTTAAAGAAACTAGAGCAAGACAGAAATTACAAGGGGGTTGATTTTTTTTTTCTCCCCAGAAAAAGCAATAAATAAAGAAAGGCTATACAATAGAAATTAAACCACGATATTTTCTCTTCTAGACACAAACCACATCATGCAAGTCCACTGCCAGAAGGATTAAATACCAACGAGTTATTTCTCCCCACTTAAATACCACTGCATTGGGGTGGGGGGGGGACACAAACTTAAGGAATAAAATCCCCGAAGAACAAAAACAATACAGAACCAACAGCACTGATTTCCTACCTGTTTTTTCTTTGATTTCACACAAGACATTAAAAAGCGCTGGCTTCATCCTGTGGCAGTTTAAAGCATGTTTCCTGGAGAGAAAAGAAAAGAGGGGAGGGTGAGCTCAGGATGTCACCATGAGGAACAACTTTCCAAATTCACGCTGGCTGGCGTAGCGAGGGCAGCTTTGAGCACCCAGAGCTGCAAACAGCCACCTACCCAAGGCAGGGGAGGTGAATGCCACCAGTTTAGGAATGAAAAGCGCCTTTGCCACCGAGCAGCTCCACGGCCGGCGCGAGGCAGGCGATGCTCCACGGCAGAGCCAGCAGCTTTTGGGAGCCAAGCTGGATCAACTGTCTTGTTCAATAGACAGCACTGGGCTCTCCCTGGCCTCCACCTCCAACACTACACCAGGCCATCTGCTTTATTTGTGAGGCACAGGGGCAATAAACTCCTCCTTGCCCCAGTGCTGGAAACATCCCCTGCTTAGAGCTGTCAATTCAGGAAATTTCAGCGCCCAACGTGGAGCACAGTAGGACACATGGAGAGAGAACCCCATTCCTCTGCCTCCATGCTACTTACATCCAGCTTATTTGCAGGTGTTAAAATTTAATTCTTTACAATAGGGACAGTAAACACATTAGGAAATCACAGCCGTCTGCTTCTGGGAAGGGGAGGGAATGCTATTCAACGCTGCTCCTTTCGGCTGCTGTTATTCCAGAGCTGACCGTTCTCCTGTGGGTTTTGAGGAGAGACTTTGGGGAGGGGGCGCTTTAATTGGCTGGTTTTAAAACCCACCACGCGCCCTCTGAGGCAAAGAATCAGCGTGATTTAATTTTTTCTCTTGAGCCAGAGGGTGATTTAGCCAAGGGTTCAGTTGCACACAGGGCTGTTGCTATCCGGCGCCGGTTACGGGGATTTCTGTTTACCAACCAAAATTACACGCGAAAGATGATGTGAACATCTGGCAAACATTCACACTACTTACCCCACCACCCACAACATGCTAAAAAGATTTATATATCTGATGAAGAATCTCAAAGGTATATACCCTTGCAGAACCACAGCGTTCCCTTATCAGCATACCCAGATGGGTGCAGACATTTGGGTATACGCAAATCACGTACATACGCTGTGAGGGCCCTCTTACAAATAATGCTGGCACTTTGCATCTTCCAAAAACTTAATTTAGGAAAAAAAAAAAAAAAAAAGAAGAAAAAACAAACAAAAAAAAAGAGGCAGCAAAACAACCGTGCAGTAGTAGGACGGAAGGAGGAAATGCAAAGCCAAGTGTTATTGATAAATAGACCATGTTTGCCAGCTCGGAATTAAAAATAATAACAATAATTTACAAAAAAAAAAAAAAAAAAGAAAAAGAAGCACTGTGAGGAAGCAGCTGAAATAGACCAGCAAGGCAAACCCATAAAGCCTTCCCCTAGCTCTGCTCTGCTTTGGTTTTATTGATTTGATTAACTACACTAAATTATCCAGGCAGGAACACACACGATTCCTGCAACTTTCCAAAGGAAGAGCCCCTCACTGCCCCGAGTCTGGCCGGGGAGAAAGTGAATGATTTCCTCCTCCTCCTCCTCACAGCTACTCTGCCCCTGCAAGAACATAAGAAAATGAATAAGATCAACCCTACAACGAGCCTTTTTGGTAAGCTGGAACTCTAAAGAATCTGGGGAGGCAAGGAGAATGGAAGCTGAGGTTTGGGGCACTTTTATCCCTCTGCAAGTTCTTAAGCGAGTTTTGGGGCTGTGCGGTGCGTTTTTCCAGGAACAATGTATTCTAGCAATCTGCTTCAACTCGGGGCATAAATATCAGGAGGAAGGACAACACACCAAGCAGCTTTGCAGCCCAGAAGAAATATCAAGTGTAACCCAGGCAATGCAGGGCAACTTTTTTGTTCCAATCCCTTCATTTGAGGTGGTTTTTTTTTCCTCCCCTCCCTGAACTTTTGGTAGTGCCTTTGAAGGTGCGCATTAGGTTTGCACTCCCCGAAGCGCAGGGCAATTCAGATACCGGCTCTTATAGCCTTATTTTTTTCCTTTTTAAATACATCTGCAATTAACGGGGGAAAAAAATAAAAAAGGCAAAGCTTCTATGAGCATCCTCAAAGCGCAGAAACGCGCTGAAAAAATAACACCACTACGTGGGCCTAAGAAAGAACATTATTAGCAGCCCTAAAAGCGGGGCAGCACTTCGTGGCTCTTTCGGAGGAGCCCGGAGCGGAGCCCCAGCCATGACCGCCCTCCGCAGTTAATCCCCCCACCCCAAAAAGGCTGGGAAAAGCCAGGCCCAGTCTGTGGATGGAGGGAGGGGGAGGCTGCGGGCGCGGCGACCCCTCCAAGTTGGGAGGTGGGAGAAAGATGGGAAATAATAAACGGGGGTGGGGGGGGGTATTACCCGGTCCCCTTTCTTTTCCCCTTCCTCCCTCGGCACATTTCCCCGCAGCAGGAGCAGCGGCACCCCCGTCCCCCGATGCTCCCGCGGCCGGGCGCGCTCCCCCCGCCGGACAACAAAGGCCGGGCCGGGGCGCGGGGGAAACTTCCCGGCACCTGCCCCCCGCCGCTCCCCGCCGCTCTCACCTGGCCTGCGCCTCGTCCAAACTCTGGTCCGTGATGGTCATGATCTGCTGTAAGATGTCTCCGATGTCCTGCTTCCTGCCTGCCTCCCCCTCCGCCCCGCCTGGTCCATCCTGCATGTGCTGGGACAGGCCCGGGTGCCCCGGCATCCCCACCCCGCTGTGCGTGTGCATCAGCCGCGGCTGGTCATCCATCGCCGGCCGCCGGCCCCGCTCCGCCGCCGCCTCCTGCCCTGGCTGCCGGGAGCGGCGCGGCTGGGCTGGCCGCCTGGCTCCTCGCTTTCTTTTCTTGCTCGCTTTCTTCTTCTTCTTTCCTCCCCCCCCTTCTTCCTCCTCCTCCTCCTCCCCAGCCTCTTCCTCTTCGCTTTTTATTTATCCTTCACGCTGGCGCCCGGCTCCGCGGCGGGGAGGAAGAGGAGGAGGAGAAAAATGAAAGGGGGGGGGGGAGGGAAAAAAAAAAAGAGAGAAAAAAGAAAGGGGAAAAAATCCCTTTAAAATACTTTTCAATGTATGGCGGCAGCGCTGGCCGCGGCGGGGCGGCCGCCCGCGATGGCAGCGCCGGAGCTACCGCGGCCGGAACGCGGCGGAGCCCCCGCGCACCGGGGGAGGGCTCCAAACTTTCCCCCACCCTGGGGCCGCGTTCGGGGCTGGCTGGGCCCCCCCTGCGCCGGGCCTGCGCGCACCGCTCCGGCCCTCGCCGCCTGCTTTTGTTCGGCTCCGGACTCCTCAAACTGGCACGGAGGAGCCCGGGGGCGGGGGGAGGAAGGGGCAGCGGCGCCGCCCGCCCCCCCGGCCCCATTGGCGGCGGCGGCGGCGGGAGGGCCGGCCC